AAATAGTTAAACAACTTACATCAATTTCAACACAAGTGTAATTCTCAAGTTTTTGTATTTCTCTCATACAATAAATGGAGTGTGGTGGTCCAAGAGATGTTTCCTCTATCAAGACAAAATTAGCCCTTCCACTATGCTGTGCAGATGATCCTAAGATTTGTACAATCTCAGAAATGGTGCCAATTTGTCTTGTATCATTGTATGTCCTATAAACAACACCATGCCCTATCTCACATATATCTCCATTTTTCAATAGAACCTGTTGTGGTGTATGAACATATGTTGTTTCAGGATGATATCCTGAGAGTGCAGCAATAGAATTCTGTATTTTGGCAGATCTTGTTGTGCTCCAAAGTTTTTTTGGCCCAGTGTGGTAACATGTGCCAGGAGAAGGAGAAGTAGAAATTTCAGATATACCTAGGAATTTGCAGCAAAGGGCTTGTGTTTGAAGAAATTTTTGTGGTCCTGGTCCAATAGTATACCAAGCACCTTGTAAAAATTCTGTAAGTAAGAGCCTCATCCATGGTGACTCAGACTGTGTTGTTGTTGGTCTGGAGCTAGACTGTGATACAAAGAAATGGCCCCCACTTAGGAGATGACGAAGTCTATTCCCTCTTGCCATTTGTATAGCAATATCCTTTGAGGGGAGCATGCCTATTACTATGCACACTGCATGATCTAATAACAGAGTTGAATGATTCAAATCCCTCTGTTGCAAATAGCATTGCTGGACCAAATCGGCGGATATGATCCGGTAGATGGAGGATAATATGAAATTTGGGTTTGTTGAACCAGTTGAGACTTAAACGACAGGTACAATCCAAGAAATGATCAATAGCAGTTTTCAGATCTATCTATATTTCTGTCAGTGATATATCACTGTAATAAGTGTAGATCAGCCAATCATTGGTTAATACCAGCACAATTATTCAGCTGCAACTATAGGTCACTTAATGAAAGTTGTTTGTATAGTCAAAATACACAACTTTGTTTTGTGACGATATGTGACATTCCCTGATGATTGTACAGTCAAACGGCGAAATTTTCCTTTTTGGGACATCTGTCACCCTATGTGACACATGTAACAGCGTGACTCGGGCGCTGAGTCCAACCCAAGTCTCTAGAGGCTTGAATTATTCATTATTATTCATAACATTGTACACTTGGATGATAGCCTCTTTGTGACATCACATACCAGTGTCACATCTTATTATCCGAGTCTTACCATGTCAAAATTATTCATAATTCTTCATACCTCTATGGACTTAGAGTGAAAAAACCTTGGAAGTTGAAATTATTCATTTCGCTTTTCAATAATTATTCATTACTATGGTGGAGAAAAAAACGGCCGTGAATTGTCTGCTCCAACCCGCCAGGGTGGACCCGACAATTCACGGTGGGTACTGGGCTGCACAGGTGGGATGGCTGTCCAGACACCCGCGGAGGTACCCGTGTCAATCCCTAGTCAGGTCCAACCCGCTGGGATAGACCTGATAGTCTATAGTAGTATATGGGCGACACAGGTGGGCCCTGCCAAGGGATGATCACAGACGGTGGGTACTGGGCTGCACAGGTGAAGACCTGCAGCTGTAAACAGAAATGAATTGTGTTTGTTCCATTTTTTGGACAAGTTTCCTGATGTATCATCACAGTAAAGCCAAATTGGAAAGGCTAGTACTTGATAACCTCTAGATTTTTTTACGCCATGGATTACCCTTACTAGGATTTGTTTTAGACCATGGTATAAATGTATTGTCTTTCCTAGAGTGTTCTCCTATAAAAGAAATCAGGGATAATTATATAATTAATATTATAACATACCTAGTATATTCCTAGGATCTAGAAGACCTCGGGCTTCATAGGTTTGGATAAAGCTAGGAAGTGAGAAAGAAAATTCTGTATCTAAAATATCAATCTGATGATCTGTCTCAACAATCCATCCATTTGGGCTTCTTGTCATTTGGCATGCCTTTGCATATATATGTCCTGAACGCTGAAACCACTGCATTGGCATACAAACTGCACCATTTGCTAATAGAGCAGGTTCATGAATATAAAAATCTTGATGCTTTCGCCGTATCATAGGTGTGGTCAAGTCAGGGTCTAGTTCCTTTAACCATCTGTGAGCCTGCCAAGCCTGAGAAAGTGATGGACCAGCATCTTCTGGGAAAAAATGAAGCTTTGACTGAACAATTGGATTTGACATTTCCTAAAATGACAGTAAGTATTAATTATGTATTATAGAACAAGTTTGTTACTTGTGCAATAATAGCTGCCATATCATTTACATAATATATATGACCAAAGGCACCTTGATACTTGATACTTTGTACCCCACATAATGACTGAAGTGTTTTGTCAATATCATCCATTATACGATCAGATGGGAGGCTATGCAGTCCAAGGGTTTCCATAGCCCAATGAATAGCTGCATTTTGCTTTCTTGAGAATGAACAACGTGGAAGATGTCGCAGAATATCTAATACACAGGTCTGTCTATTGTCAGCAAGTAACCAAAGTTAGACTATTAGATAACCTCTTTGTCTGGCCATGGGTACCATTCAGACTTGAAATCTTCAAGATTTATTTTACGCTTTTTGCGGGCATGTGGAAGTTCTATTTTCACTTATCAGATAGGTGAGATCTAAAATAATTGTCAACTATACTAACCAAAGTTCTCTGAATCTTGATCTGATAGGGCTGAATTGGAATCTAATTCACTACATTCACACTCTTCATCTTCAGAGTCCATGCCTGCTTCTAAAAACCGCTGTAGCTGTACTAGCAATTTATCCTGAGCATTGGGATCTTCAAATTGCATATCAACATCTGCCAAGTTTCTCCAATCTGCTGTTCCAGTGGACTCATTAATCCAATTATTTGACCTTGAATTACGAGTTGCATCTAGGAGTGTCTGAGTTAGCAGTCCTCCAACAAGATCTCTTGTCTGAGGAGTAGTATGAGATGGTTGAGACCTATTCAGGTTATCAGCCCTATGCAGATTTTCAATATGTCTATGAGAGTCTTCATGTTGAGCAATATGTTTCCACAATACTGGATTGTTGTTTGGGCACACAGTGCATGCAAATTTCTGAGAAGCTGCAGGTATCCAAACTATAAAAATTATTTGATATTAATTCTAGGCAATATGTGTGAATCTGAGTATACCTACTATCTGGGCGTTTAGATGGAAAATTTCCTGTCTTCTGGCTAAAAGACAGAATATCTGATCCTAAATAATATTTGTTAAAACTTTAGTGACTATATGCAGGATTTAATATCTAACCATGTGATCTTCCAGACCCTCCCAAGACTGATATGCGAAGATAAAGTACAGACAAGTTTTTAATGCCAATATCTTGGAGAATATCATCTGGATCAAGGGCTATATGTCTGCTTTGGGGAAACAAGAGACTGCATCTAATCCGTCTAAGATCAGGTATACACCGCCGTTTTCGCAAGAGTTGCAATATATCATCTACAGTTTGCCTTGGCTCTATATCTGATTTGGACTTAGACAGAACCTAAATACATATTTTTAAAAAAAAACATACATAAAAACTGAGGCCTAGTTGTAGCACCAATGACAGTTATTTGATATTTCAGTCTTCCTTTTGTATGTCTGTCAGATATTGTGGCTGTGTGGAGTAATTCCCAAGAAACTTGGAATTTCCGACAAACTAGAAAATAGAGATGATCAATAAATAATCAATGAATAATTCAGAAAACACACTGAAGATAGGATATGAGACAAGTAGAAAATATAAGAGCATGTAGACATAACATAGACTTGTTTGGTGGAGTTGCATATATGCATGTACAGCCAAACTTGCCCAAATAACAGTTGCGACCAGACCAAGAATTGTTTTGCCAAATAGGGTTTTGCGGTGACAGGCATGCCGTTTCCCCGCAGATCGGTGCTGATGCCAGTGATGGAAGCGGTGCTTTCGGATTGCTATTCGGCGGGCAAATGGAGTACTGAGAGATGGTCTCTGTGGTGGGCACTGTCCTTCGGCCATGGATGTGAGCGACAAGGAGCATAAAGCGCCCCATGAGGATCATGCACGCAGAACGCGTGTGTTCTGAATCGTTTGACGTGTGAGTCCCCGGGGCCGGCGACAATTCCATCATTTCTCCCTATTTGACCGATTCCGGCCACTTGTGTCCCGATTTGATCAAATCCGCCACAAGCGGCCGGACAACCTGTCCAAGCCCTGGGGATCAGTGCTGTAAACTGTCGCCCACTGTCAATCAGTCTTAAGAAAATTGCAGAGCTTAAAAATGTGCTATGGAACTGTTATCGTCGTCCTACTGCTAATCATCACAACATGCGGATATCATGATTTTAGGATTACCATAGAAAGCGGCATAATAGTATCCTATGCTGTTCAGTCATGAAATTTGCATAAAAAGACCGTGCAGCAGTGTAGGAAATACTGTAGCATTTTATTCAATTCGGCGGTCACGCGTCACACCGGCCTTAAAATGCCGAAATTTTTTCGGCGGTCACACTCGACAGCCTAGACGCCGAATTCCCTCGGCTGATGTACCATTTTTGGCTGGCACGGCCCTGCGGGCCACGCCGAAATCTGCCCAAAATTTTCGGCGGTCACACTTGGAGCTGCCGGACGCCGAAAATTTCATTTCGGCGCCGATGTCACACCGATTTCGGGCGCCGAATTGAATAAAATGCTACAGTAGTGTTTTTAGAACCATATCAAGTTATCAACTCACAGCACTATATACAATTCTTGGAAGCAAATTAAGAAAATTTTGAGACCTGTTTTCTTAAGCTCTATTTTTTCCCCATCTGAACCGTTCAACTGTTTGAACTTAAGCTTCTTTGCATCATGACTGTCAAGTCACGACGTCACGTACGTACGTACGCGTACGTGAGATGCCGTGACGTCGTGACACAGTTTCCTGTGCTAGCCCGCTGAGGGCGACAATCGTGCAGCTCACTGTCATGACGCAGCCGAGACGCAGCCGTGGACCAGAACATGGCCAAGGCAAAGCCAAGGCCAAGGTGTCGGCCTCGCCTTTCCCGACCCCCCTCCGCGACCGTTCCCGAAGGCTCCGCCCACAGCCGTGTGGCGCCGTATTCCGATCGCGCAGACGATATGTCGCGCGGCGCCGGGTCGGACGTTTCGACTAAAAACAGAGGCGAACGGCGGAATCGACTCGGTGGGCCTCTGTTTCCTTCCCGCCGCCACCTACCACTGGCTATGGCTCCGCCCGCGAGCACGAGGGATGCAGCCACTGAGCGCGCGCTGGACGAGGAGTTTACACGTATCACGTCGTGCTGCTACTACCGCGCGCCAACTGGGAGGGCGAGGAGAGAGGTGGGAAGGGAGGCGGCACCGGAGTATGTGCTCAAAATTTTCCTGATGACTACGTTTGACCTTGACTGTAGCTTGGTCATGATTCTCGGATGGGGTGCGTTGTCCGCTGCCATCGTCGGCGCAACTAAGGCTTAGCAGCGTATGCTACCCTCAGGCCTGTCTCGCACTACTCGCGGAAGTACGCGGAAATGTACCCCGGCGCTGCACAGCTGGTCCTCACGTGCGACACGACCGCGTTTGGGCTGGGCACGTTTGCGATGAATGTGAGCCTTGTCTTTCTGCGAAATTCTGTTAACATTGGCGGTAGATTGCGCGAATGCGGCCTGTGGTCAACTTCCTGCACGACCTTTTCCGTCTCGAATACGAGGGGGAGGCGCCGAAACGATGGATGGTGCAGTGTATGTCGAGCGGTGCGTGGTCACGCTTCTGCTTTCGCAAGGAAAGCTTCATTTGTCGCGCATATAGGCGGCCTGATGCAACTCCATTGGCTAACGCTCACGCTCAATCACCTACACAACACTGGCGCGCTCCATCCGGCCAGTATAAACTCGCCACATCGCACGCTCCTTCTCCCCGCCCTCCCCCCGCTGCCGACCCTTACCATCCTCGACTCCGCCCCGTCCGTGGCCGACATCTCTGAATTCTGGGAAGGCGCGGGTTACTACTCCGTCCGCCGACTCGGAGAGGCTACCGCATTGTACTACGCGAATCGCACGCTCGCTGTCTGCGGTCTCCGGCCCGAGCTGTCGGCCTTCATCGGGGACTTCGTCGCCGGGGAGCCCGAGGGCGATATTACCCTCATGGCGGGGGCAGGCGGAGCAACGGCCCGATACGCGTATGCATGGCACCCGCTCAGCCGCACGGTCCCCCGGGTGTACTTCTACTCTGACGTCGACCGTGTCGCGCTGTTGCCGCGCGTCAAGGCACATATAGCGCAGATGCGCGCTACGGGTGTCCCGGTTGTGCGGGAGGAGTTCTTTCGCGGGACGGCGCATGTTAGTCATGCGCGGCGCTATCCCGAGCGGTACTGGCGCGCGGTGGCAGGGGCGTGGAGGGCTGCGTGTACGGCGGGGAAGAATGTGGTGGAGGAGGCAGAGATGGCGTGGGATGAATCAGAAGTGTCGAGTGGCAAAAAAGACTGGCGGGGCTCTGGGGCTGAAGACTTGCAAGCAAGAGCAAAGTTGTAACCAGAGCTCCATCTAATACGGTACAATACCGACATAATTAAAATAATGCATCTCTTTAAGTTGTGTATTGTAACAGGTTCACTGTGAATGGAAGCAAAGTAAGGTAAAGATTGTTGAAAGATTGATTCAGTTCTGAAACTCTGCTTTAACTCCACTACTTTGATAGAGAGAAGAACCACCAGACTGTACAGTATTGGAATTGACGCTATTGTTGAGTACATATGAGTTAGCATTATCAGAAGATCATTTATATTACTTAGTCGGAGAAACATAAGCACAGTATGTTAGAATTGACAAGAAATTTAGTCTATGCGGTATGCACGAACAGCCCTCACACAGTATATATCCATTCATCGTCCACATCAACGAAATTTCCAATCGGAGACTGCATACAGTTAGCCTATCCAGTTCAAGTCTGCCGGCAAGACCTACCATATGAGAAGAGAGATAAAATCCTGGTATTGCAAAGGAGAACTGCGCATGAGTCTCTGCATTACCCGCGGCGTTGCGCAGGTCCAGGATGGCCTGCACGCGCCGGGCCTCCTCCGCCGGTTCAGAGGGGTGCCATGGCAACACGATGGTAATATCGCGGAGCGACTCCGACGCCGACTCTGCCCGGGCCGCCACGCGGCAGCGATTGTACCAGTTTGCGACATGAACCAGCGGAAGCTCGTCAAGCTCAGGTGTGATGTGAAGGGAGCACAGGCGAGGCAAGGAGGATCCGCGGCGTACGGGGTCGATGATGCTCTCCAGGAGACCTTTTGCGATTTCGAAACTGGTGTTGTGAACAGTCAGGTGGGTCAATGCTGGGGTCCATTCCAGCAGGCCAGGGTGGGTGACAAGCGAGTCAACTACTAGAGAGAGCAACGTGCATTTAGATCGTTTGAGGAGGTCGTCAAGGTAGGTCTCCGAGTCTCCGTTGCTGTCCCAGCGTCCTAGATGGAGATGGGCGAGCGCCGGTACCGTAAGCTCCTGCGTCCAAGAATAGTCATAGACGAAATATTGCTCGTTGATTCGAAGGGTATGCAGGAGGGCGAGTGATAACGGGGCGGGCCGGACAGTCTGGTCTGAAAGTGTTGGTCGTTGCATGTGAACGTCGAGGGTTTGAAGCTGCGGCATATTCCGGAGAAAGTCATACAGCGCGAGGAGACGGATGTAGGAAACCGTAAAACTTGTGATTTGCGCCCATGGCAGCACGATTTGCGCCAGCGAAACAGAGGCAAGATGGACATGCCGAAGCGCTGGAGTGTCAGCGAACGTGTCCAAGGGTTCCTGGGTGGGAAGTGGGCTGATACCTTGAAGCGTGAGGCTCTGGAGACAGCTGAGCTTCTCTGTTCCGAGCTGCAGAGTATCTGCCAAAGCTCCGGTGTAAGCTTCCAATCTTCCTATTGCTCCATACGTCTGCAGGGGCACCTCTGCCGTCAGACTGTATGAAGACACCTCCAAAGAATGGCCCCGCGATCGTGCGAGACAGAGCTCCAGCAGCCTTGCCTGCTTGTCGCTCAACTTCGCCTGGCGGAGACCGATTCGCGACCAGATGCGGGGAAGGCCGACCGCGATGCGACGCCATTCGCTACAAACCGCCGCAAGCACGAGGGGGGAGGTGCCTGTGTCACTGGGAGACCGACCGCCAATGGTGAACTCCTCCACGCAGTGCCCGAAGAACTCTGCCGTGAGCTCCATTGGGACCGACAGAATTCCCGCGTACGTGACCTGCCGCAGACACGCAATAATGCAGCGACGTGCCGCATACGCTGCGGTCAAGGAAGCGCGCATGTTGTCGATGTTTGCATCGATTTCGGCCAGCTTCCGGCGCAGCTGGGCAGGTGCGTCATTCGTGCCTGTGGACATGACAGTCAGGGTGAAGTTTGTTGACGTGTGAATTTGTTGCGTAATGCAGGGTGACGTCACACGGTCGTGACCCGATTTTCTTTTTTTGAATTCACTCTGCTGGGAGGCTGACCGCTGGATAATCGTCTTGCGGGGTACCTGTGCCCAGGAGATATCACATATATATCATATATGGTAATTGGTCACTTAGTTCTGACAAATATTACTCAATTCTTTTGACATAGATACTCCTACTAGTTTCATTACATCGATTTCCTGTAGATCTTGGAATAAAATGGTCACTTGATGTTGGCCTGGATACATGTTCAATTTAAGGGAGTGATAGACAAACTAATTTGGTACAGATTGAGTCCATTTTCATTGCATCAAGGGGGCAGGGAGAAAAGAAATTAAGGAACATATGTGCTCCAGAAATTAAGGGCTTACAGGTGGACCGACCAACCATGATATGCATGATAATTTCCCGTTCAGGCAGGTGTCTCACAGGGTCACCTGATTAACTCATCAGACAAACTGCTGTACTATTTCTAGAATGTGTAAAATTTATGGGGGACATACTGTAAAAAAGTATTTGACACATGTTTTAAAATGGAGACAACTTTTTGGAGGTACAACTTGGCTTTTTTAGAGTTTCTATATACAACTCTGCAAATTAGATACAACTTTCCACCCATTTTACATGTGCAAGTCAACCTCAAAAGACAACTTTTGTCAGTGTTGTTGATAAGGGGGTTATTGCCGTTTTCAAAATAGTTGGCACCGCGGGTTTGAACACAACTTTTGCCATTTTTTGGACCCCACAGTAATTATTTTATTTCTCCATGAATTCTCAACATAAAAAGAAAATTTAAAGACCTAAAATCATCGTTTTAACGGGGCAATTTTATCGATCAACTTCGGCCATCAAACTACCATATATGGACATTTGCTCATCAACCTGCACATAGCTTGATTGTGTCAATTTCTATGGGCAAAATAAAATACCTTGACCATATATTCGACTATGCAAGGACTTGGCACATATACATCATGTGCCCGCCTGAATATCGGCCCCAACGGACCCGATTTGAGCGAGAACAAGCAGTGACATTGATGTATTACATACATGTGACACTCACACTCCGCTCTTTGCTTCTACCTCCATGACGGGAAAGCGAAAACGCGCCAAACTACCGCCCACGGAGTCTGACGATGGTCCAATAGCAAAGCGGCCTCGTGGGACGTCCACCGAAGCTCCCTGCCACGGCTACTACACGGTCTCGTTCCCCACTCGCCTCTCTGGCCCCCAAGGCAACATCTCCGCGTCTTTGGACGCACTCTCTTTCTGCGGTACAAGTTTTTTTAAATACCACTTCTGTAGGCCAATATGCAACATTTTTCAGGCAAGGTACAACTTCAGTTACTCTATCACTTGCCATCAGCGGCCATCAAAGGTGATTGTAAAGGCAGTGGTGGAGCAAAGCATATTTGATGTGTTTATCTGATCCGCTATGATATCAGTGATGGCTGACCAGAAAAGTCCAAGTTACATTCAAATAAGCTGCATGCAGCAATAAAGTTGTACTAGGAAAAGGTGTCCAACTCGCTAGTTGTATGCCTAAAAAGTTGTACTCCAGAAAAGTTGCATTTTGGAAAGTTGTATGCAATGACAGGATGTCTTTGCTCAAGTTGGACTTGTCATAGCCAGACTCAAGTTGCCTTACCCATGAAAAAGTTACACCTAAATTAGAGCGAAAGATGTCTGATTAGAAGTTGTAGTTGTCTTTGGCCAAATGAAGTTCTAGGGGGAGGTGGAGCGAGTTAGCCCCAGGTGTGGCGGAGATGGTATAGCTGCTGGGTAGCTTTTTCTCCCAGGCAAGTCGGTGAATCCGAACAGGGGCTTTGGAGGGGGTAGGGGGTGTGTCTTTCGTTTCAGGCTCGTTGTAGGCCAGAGGAGTTGATTCATCATACAAATAAGTGAAACGATTTATGGACGCAAATGAGGGCACACCAGTCACGTCACAGGGGAGAAAATCCTTTACCGGAACCTCCGAATGCGCCTCCGCTAGGGCGGCCATATCAGAGTAACGGGCGACCAACTCTGCTAGCATCTTGTCGCCGAGTTGTTAGAGTACTACCTCGTCAAGGATGTCCATATGGTGAACGTCGGCAGGGAGCGGACAATCCCGGGTAGTGCTGTCCAATTATGATTATGAATACGAAATTTTCATAATTTATTCATATTCATAATATATTCTCTCTGCTGGAGCATATTATAATTGTATTCATATTCATAATCATAATTGGGCTCAGAATATGAATATATTATGAATATATTCAATTATATTCAAGCTTCACAAGTCTGCACATAGTGCATATAATCCACCTTATCTCATGGTTTATTGAACCACTCCTTGGTTATGGTTGTTTCTGTGGCCAATTTTGCAGTCATTGAGGCATACATATCTGTCATCCTATGCTTGATGCTGGAGTCTGGAGACCAGGTGCCCTACAGAGATGCTCTTTGCAGCCATAACCAGGATTGGTAACATAGCCTGGATATTCTACAACAAGATATTAAGCTGAACAAAACTCTAGCCTAGGTCAAGTATGATACCTTCACCAGCGAAGAGTATCATCAAAGTCCAGGGTAGCAATATAAAGGTCAACTTCAGCCTTCTGTCAGGGCTGGATATGGATATTGTCCGGCCTGATTTACTGCCAAAAGCCATTGATATGGTAAAGACTGAGTTTGAAGATGTTGCTACTGCTGCTAGTAGCCTGCTACAGAGCTAGTACCTCTGGCTGAAGGGCTTGCTGGTGTATTTGAATATAATTAATTATGGCCAAGGTATAATATATTATATTCATAATATATTCATATTCATAATCACTCATATTCAATGGGTCTGAATATGCAAAGGGCATAATATAATCATATTTATTCGAATATATTCAAAATATATTCTAGCATAATTTAATTGTGGACAGCACTAATCCCGAGCCAGGTGGTTGGGGTTGCCACATCTGAAGCAGGCTCATGGGGGGCGCCCCGAGTCTTAGTATGAACGAGTGCGCCAGCCCAGATAGTCACAGAGGTCTGGGGGGTCGTTCGAGGACGTAATACCATTGGTGATCAGGGGGTCAAGTCCATGGCGGTACTTAGTCACCTTAACCAACGCGTCTTCGAACCCAGCAAGGTCCATTAAGTCCTCGAAGTCGTTGGTATATCTGTAGACATCCCGCGTTCCCATGTGATAACCCGCACTCTCCAGCTTAGCGTGCGCAAGGTCTTGCTCATTCTCTTCAACGAACCGAAGGCGGAACTCAGAGAGGAATAGGTTCCACTGAGGGAAGGGGGTTTTGCTCCCATGATGCTCCACCCACTGCTGGGCAGGTCCCTCCGCCATACAGGACATGGTGTAGCGGACAGCCTTTTCTTCACTCGGCTCTCCGTTGATCACGAAGGCCTCAGAGGCAAGCCGGGGGTAAGTCTTGACCGCGTATAGGAAGGCGCGGCCGCGTTTGCGATCTCTGTTAAACCTAAACGGGGGGTTTGGTCGTAAGACCAGTTTTGAGGCAATAGTAATGTCACCAAATAACACATCCGCATCGGGGGCATTCGGGGATGCTGAAGTAGGTTCAGGAACTGCCGAAGGTGGTGCGGCAGCAGAAGCCTGGGAAGCAAGATGGGTGAGAATATTAGTGAGGTTGTCTAGTTTTGCCTCAAGTGCATCCATGCGCGCGTTAGTGTACGAAGCAGCTCCAGTAGACATAGCAGGCGTAAAGACGACAAGAGCTGACAGGGGTCCTGACCTGTGAATAAATTTAAGTGCTTTTTGACATTTATTGGAGACCCAAATAGGGATTTCAGTCCAATAGGGTCCTGATGGGACTGCTGGCTTCTCGGCAAAGGTGTAAGGGCAACCCCGGAGGCCTGAGATCAAGGTCCTAGCAGGGGAGGATCCGAAGAGTGAACATTGGTAAGCGAATACAAATGAAGCTGACCTAGCAGGGGAGGATCCAAAGAGAAGAAACTCTAAGGGTCCGCCTGCTAGGTAGCTGAACTATATACTGCGCTCTTGACGCGCCAAGGTTGATCGTTGCTCCGTGCAGTATGCCTGCGCCATGTCGCAGGCCAGGTCCCAGGGGGATCGCCAGGCGGGGGCGGTGATGCGATTGATGGCGGTGATGCGATCACCGGAGTCGGAATCGGGTCGATTCCGGGCCGAAAGGGAGGTTCCCCTGACATCACCCCCCCCTTTGAATGCGGCGTCCCGACGCATAGACCGGAACGGAATCGAGTCTAAGGTCGCGGAGGCGATGTGTCGGAGTCCGATTCCGATTCGCTGCTACTTTCATCATCAGAGCCGTATCTCGTACGCTTGCCCATTTTTCTGCGTTTAGGCAGCTGGGTGCGAATAAGACTCTCTACGTCGTTGAGGAAGGCGGTAAACTGTTTGGAGCGATGGGAAATCTCAGCGATGCCGATCCCAGTGCCGTCAAAGTCAAGTAAGCCCAATGCCGCCTCCTGCAAAACACTCTCAGTTTCAGATTCAGATTCTAATGCTAATAGCGCCCACTGGCCCCTGCTATGCAAGCTTGCCGGGGTACTTACGATAGAACTCCGCAATTTTCTCCGGGGCAAAGACGCGGTCGAAGCGGACCCATTGGTCGTGCGATGCGTCGTAGCCTTTCCATCTGACGAAGTAGTTCAGCCGTTTATACCTCACCCTTGCGTCCAGGATTTCCTCTACTTCCCACTCCGGGACTCCGTCCTCGAGGTCCGGAGGGGGCTGGTCGTAGCCGGGGCGTCCGTCGAAGGGGTCGTCCTGGGCGAGCTCGAGCTTGACGACGGGAAGACCGGGTGGAGCTTCGAGTAGGCGGAGGGAGGTCGAGCTTGTAGGCACCTTTGCTGATCTCCGCGACTATCTTGAACGGTCCAAGGCGGCGATGGGAGAACTTTTCCGAGGGGCGAGTCGTCCTGATGTCAGAGGCATCCAGCCAAACACGGTCGCCAA